AGTTACTATACTAACCTGTAGGTTAGTACAGCCAGTCTTTGAAGGACATTACTGATCTTGCCCCCCCCCCAAATTTATCCCACCTAGACCGTCTTATCTAGGTGGAATTGTTACCCCACCAAACTAGAAAAACCTTAAAAAGAGAATCTAATCTAGGTGAATTCCAGTCCATTGTGTTCTGCTCAAGCTTGGAGGGTGAGAGGTGGGAGGTAGATCCATTGTCGAGATTGCCCAAGCTGGGAGTGAGTGATATAATCAAAGTAGCATCTCCCATCCCCACTTTAGAATAGGTCCACTTCTGGTAATATTCATTCTCTCATTATGTTAATGTTAATGAATCAAAGTTGATTGCAGCCAGTTGGGAACACCCACTATTCCAAGGATATATAATAGCATCAAGAGGCCTCCAGGAGGGGTCTTTGGTTATAAGAGAAGGCCAAATGACCATAAAAATTATTAATTACCCGGAAACCAAGTCCTTCGAACTTATTATATGTCACAATAGAAACAATAATTTCATCAAGGAAAATGACAAGACAGCATTCCAAAATTTGTGAGATACAGCCAAAGTGGTAATTAGGGAGAAATTTATATCTAAATGCTTACCTCAATAAAACAGACAAAGAACAGATAAATGAATTGGGCATGCAACTAAAATAGCTAGAAAAATAACAAATTCCCCAATTAAACACCAAAATAGGAGTCTTAAAAATCAAAGGAAGGCAGCTGGGTGGCACAGTGGACAGAGCACCGGACCTGAAGTCAGGAGGACCTGAGTTCAAATCTGGCCTCAGACCAAACACTTGACACTTATTAGCTGTGTGACCCAGTGCAAGTCACTTAACCCCAATTGCCTTAAAAAAAAAAATCAAAGGAGACATTAATAAAATTAAAAGTTGAAAAAAACCCCTCAAACCAACACATAAAACCAGGAGCTAGTTAATTGGTTAATTTGATTTAAAAAAAATTACTAGTATCAAAAATGAAAAGGGTGACTGCAACACCAATGAAGAGGAAATTAAAGCAATTATTAGGACTTATTTTGTTCAATTATATGCCAGTAAAAACTGACAATCTAAGAGAAATGGATGAATATTTTCAAAAATATAAATTGCTCACACTAATAAAAGAAGAAATGTAATAAATAAGCCTGTTTTAGAAAAAGAAATTGAACAACCCATAAATGAGTTCCCTAAGAAAAAATCCTCAGGACAAGATGGATTCACAAGTGAATTCTACCAGACATTCAAGAAATAATCCCAACACTTTATAAAGTGTTTTTAAAAAATAGGTAAAGGAGGGGCAGCTAGGTGGCGCAGTGGATAGAGCACCGGCCCTGAAGTCAGGAGGACCTGAGTTCAAATGCGGCCTCAGACCAAACACTTGACACTTACTAGCTGTGTGACCCTGGGCAAGTCACTTAACCCCAATTGCCTAAAAGCAAAAAGAAAAAAAATAGTTAAAGGAGCCCTATCAATTCCCTTTATGACACAAATATGCTTTTTTTTTTAAATTTTTTTTTGGGGGGGAGGCTAGGCAGTGGGGTTAAGTGACTTGCCCAGGGTCACACAGCTAGTAAGTGTTTAGTGTCTGAGGCCAGATTTGAACTTAGGTACTCCTGACTCCAGGGCCAATGCTATATCCACTGTCCCTATATATATAATTTTTTAAATTTTTAAATTTTGGGGCTTGATCAAGTAGGATTTATACCAGGAAGGCAGGGCTGGTTTTGTATTAGGAAAACTATAAGTATAATTGGCCCAATAGCGAATACAACAAAAATTATGTAATTGTCTCAATAGATGCAGAAAATGCCTTTGACAAAATATAACACCCATTTCTATGAGAAAAAAACACTAGAAAGCATAGGAATAAATGGAACCTTTCTTAAATTGATAAATATTATACATCAAAAACCAAGAGCAAGCATTATCTGTGATGAGTATAAACTTGAAGGCTTCCCAATAAGATCGGGGGAAGCAAGGATATCCATTATCACCACTATTACTTAAGTTGTACTATAAATCCTAGCTATAGCAATAAGATAAGAAAAAAGAAATTGAAGGAATGAAAATAAGCAATGACTAAACAAAATTATCATTCCTTACAAATGATATGATGATATACTTAAGAGAACCCTAGAGTCAGCTAAAAAATAGTTGAAACAGTTAACAACTTCAGCAGTATTTCAGGATAGAAAATAAACCCATACAAATCATCAGCATTTCTATATACTATAAGCAAAGTCCAGCAGGAAGAGAAAGAGAAATTCCATTGAAAATAACTGCAGATAATATAAAATACTTGGGAGTCTGCCTTCCAAGACAAACCCAGGGACACTATGAACACAATTACAAAACACTTCCATAAAAATACAGATCCAAACCATTGGAGAAATATTAATTGCTCATGGGTAGGCTGAACTAATATAATAAAAATGACAGTTCTCCTTAAGTTAATTTACTTATTCAGTGCCATACCAATCAAACCACCAAAAATTATTTTATAAAGTTAGAAAAAATAATAAAATTCATCTGGAAAAATAAAAAGTCAAGACTATTAAGGAAATCAATAAAAAGAAATGTGAAGGAAGGCAGCCCAGCAGTACCAGATATCAAACTGTATTACTAAGCAGTAATCATCAAATCAGTCTGGTACTGGCTAAGAAACAGAGTGGTAAATCATTTGAATAGATTAGGCGCACAATACATAGTAGTAAATGCCCATAGCAATCTAGTTTTTTATAAACTCAAAGATCCAAGCTTTTGTGGTAAGAACTCGCCATTTGACAAAATTTGCTGGCAAAATTGGAAAACATTTTGGCAGAAACTAGGCATAGACCAGCATTTCGCACTGTATGCCAAGCTAAAGTCCAAATGGATAAATGATTTAGGTATTAAGGATGACATCATAAATAAATTAGGGGAGCATGGAAAAAATATCTGTCAGATCTATGGATAAAGGAAGAGTTTATGACCAAACAAGAGATAAAGAAGATCGAAGAAAGTATAATGAATAATTTTGATTATATGGAATTTAAAAACTTTTGCACAAACAAAACTCATGCAGATAAAATTAGAAGGAAAATTGGAAACTGGAGAAAAATTTACAGCAAGTTTCTCTGATGAAGGTATCATTTCTCAAATATATAGGAAACTGAGCCAAATTTCTAAAAATAAAAGCTATTCCCCAGTTGACAAATGTTGAAAGGATATGAACATGCAGTTTTCAGAAGAAGAAATCAAAGCTATATTTCGCCACATGAAAAAATTCTTTAAATCACACTGATTAGAGAAATGCAAATTAAAATAACTCTGAGATACCACCTCACACCTATCAGATTGGCTAACATGACAGAAAAGAGAAATGATAAATGTTGGAGGGGATGTGGAAAAAATGAGACATGTGCATTGTTGGTGGAGTGAACTAGTCCAACCAACCTAGAGAATAATTTGGAACTATGCCAAAGGGGTATCAGACTGTGCATACTCTTTGACCCAGCAATACCACTCCCAAAGAGATCAAGGAAACTGGAAAAGGACTTGTATGTATTAAAATAATTATAGCCCTTTTTGTGGTAGCAAAGAATTGGAATTTGACAGGATGCCCATCAATTGGGGAATGGTTGAACAAGTTGTGGTATATAATTGTGATGGAATTCTTCTTGTTCAGCTATTTCAGTCATATCCAAGTCTTTGTGACCCCAACTGCGATATTCTTAGCAAAGATACTAGAGTGGTTTGCCATTTCCTTCTCCAGCTTATTTTATAGATGAGGAACTGAAGCAACAGGGTTAAGTGACTTGCCCATGGTCACACAGTAAGTGTCTGAGGCCATATTTGAATTCAGGAAGATAAGTCTTCCTGACTTCAAGCCTGGCACTCCACTGTGCCACCTAGCTGCCCATATGGAATACTATTGTCCTATAAAAATGATAAGCTGGATGGTTTCAGAAAAACCTGGGAAGACTTATATAAACTAATGCGAATTATAGTGAGCAGAACCAGAAGAACATTGTTCACAGTAACATCAATGTTGTAAGAATGATCAACTCTGAAAGACTTAGCTACTCTGATCAAGACAGTGATCCAAGACAATTCCAAAGGACTCATGATGAAAAATGATATCCACTTCTAGAAAGAGAGAACTGACAAACTCTGAATGCAGATTGAAGCATACGTTTTTTACTTTCGCTACTTTTCTTGGTTTTTTTAATCTGTTTTCTTTTGCAAAATGGCTAATATGGAAATATGCTGTGCATGACTTCACACGTAGTTTTGATATACAATTGCATGCCTTCTCAGGAGGGGGGAAGGACAAAAGGGAGGGACAAAATTTGGAATTCAAAAATTTTTAAAACGAATGTTAAAATTTTATATGTAATTGGGAAGTGTTTAACAAAATAAAAGTGTAGTTAAAAACAAAAAAAAACCTAACTGAAGAATTCAGAGAAACGTAGGAAGACTTATATGAAATGGTACAAAATGAAGTAAGTAGAAACCTACCCAATATCTACAAGAATATAAATGAAAAGAACAACAACAAAAAATAAATAGAAAAAAATTTAATTACACATACACATACATGTATATATTTGTGTCTGGTGAAAAGAGGAGAAAATGAACCTTTCTTCTATGTATAGGTGAGCAACTATGGGATGGTGGGTGGGACATTGACTATACCATCAGACTTGATTTATGTACTGGTTCACTTTACTCAACTGCCTATTTTTTTCCTTAAATCTTTGTTGCAAGAAATGGCTTGTTATGTAGGAGAGGAGTTATAAATTTGGAAATGAATGTGATTAAAATAAAACTAAATGCACCAATAAAAATAAAAGGCAAACATCAATAAAGGATGAAATAAACATTCTCTATAGCTTGCAAACATTTTTATAGCTATAAAGATGTACTTTTTTGGAAACTCCTTTTTTACTTTTTAAAGTTTTTTGAAAGCTTTTAAAAAAACCTTCATGCAGTAAATTTTCATAAGCATGTAATCAATTTTTATTTAAATAACATTTACAACTATTTTCTGCTATAATACTATGCCACTATTACTTTCTTTACACTGATATTTGGGAGGTCAGCTGAGGCTCTTGGTTCACATAGGGCAGAAGACTCTGAGAAGATTATTTATTGGTTATCTGACATCAGTAAAAGTCCATGGTGACCAACTTTGTTTACAACACACTTATCAACAGGTATCTGAAGTACAAGAAAAAAAAAGATTGAAGATATAATCATTGTTTGAAGGCAACCAAAACTAGAAGGCATGATTCTATATATGTTCATTGTGACAGGTACTTGACTATTTCACTGATGTGGGTAATCTATCTGAAGGTGAAGAGTACAACCCATATATACCTGATAGTCATTGTCCATGTTCTCCCATAAATCCACCCAACATTCTGAGGACCTTCCTCCAGATCTCCTGTATGTTGATACCAATGCAGAATGCAGGTTGCCTAATGAATATACCACATTCTTGCTACGTGCCCATCTTGTTTTTCTGGTCATACATCCCTTATATTGCTTCCCTTTTGCAATTAATTTCTCTTCTGTAATGAGTTGCAGACTCCTTATGCTCACCACATGTATCATGTATCTCCATTTTTCAGTTTGTTTTATTTTTTGGAATCCATGGTATTTTTTTACTCAAAACCATATACTATCACTGGGAGAATATTGGTGTTACAAAGATAGTCCTTTATATCAGTGAGAAGCTTAGGGCCATTCAAAAAGAAATCTGCAAAATCTCCCAAGGACAATGTAGATCACTCTTCCTCTTCAGTCCTGGTTTCAATGCATTGTCCATTTGTACTGTTAGCACAAGACAGGTGTCCTAGTGGACAAGCTGTATACATTGATCATCTGAATGATATATCATAGTGTGGATAATAGGCAGTCTTGATTGACTTGGTTTTTCTTGTGTAGATAGTTAAGCTGAACTCAGGTAGCTAGTTCTCATTTAGGAGTCTTTGCACTGCTCAGGGGCTTGATGCAATCCCTAGGATGGTATCTTTAAGAACACCTTGAAGAACTCACCATCAATAAGGAATTACTCTTCACTTGGACTATGCATTTAACATCCTTTATGACACTAGCAATTATATTTAATAATTTAACAAGTATATGTCTCCCTGTTTTATGTCTTGCTTATTTTATCAGAGAGTCATTGAACAAAATTATCCCTTTTGTTAAATCTTTTAAGGAGTTCTTTGAATTAAAAAAAAACATTTATTAAGCTCTTTCTGTATGCCAGACATCGTGACAAATATGAAGAATACAAATTCAAAAGTAATAGTATCCTTGCCCTCAAGGAGTTACGTTCTAACAGGCAAAGATAACACATAGAAGAGTACCGACCAGGGAAGAGAATTTTGGTTCGGTGAGTCACAAGGATGGCAATCAATGGACAGATACATCCTTACCTGAAGGATTGGTAGCATTGACTTGATTACAGTGCCCAGAGCAAGAGATAAAAAGATGGGTGGAGTTCATATGTCAGGAAAAGTGAAAGATGGCCTAAGTAAATGGCTGGATGGGGTGTGAAACATGGTCTCAGGTAGAGTAGCTAAACTTAGTGGTTGGGTGAGTTTTCAATAACTATCAACTCATTCCTACTATACAAAACTTTTATGAGAATGACCTACACACACATTGAAATCATTCTTGGTGAACATATGTGAAAAGGGAAACATGCAGGTTTTTGAAAATTGTTTTCTACAGCAGACCAACTCTTTACCATAACACGATTAACTGAAAGTCTTTAGAGAGTACGAAACCTCTATTGTGCTTATCATTTGGTTGACTAGCAAAAAGAAGACTTCCATATCTCAATATACAGGCTTTATCTGCCCCCTGGACTCCAGTCCTATACTACCAGCTGCCCACTAGACATCTCCAACTGAATGTCCTATAGGCATCTCAAACTCAGTATGTCCATAATAGAACGCATATTTCTCTTCTCAACTTAGGCCAACTCCAACCTTCCCTATTTCTGTTGAGTGTGTCACCTTTCTTCTAGTCATTCAGGTTCTCAATCTTTGGAGTTATCCTTTTCCCTCACTACCTATCAATTGCCTAATCTTGTCAATTTTACTTCTTTAATCTGTCCCCTTTTCTGATTTCCATCACAATAGCCTTTTATTGATTTCTCTACCTTCAGTTTCTCTCCTCTCCAATCTATACAGCTGCCTTACAGCTGCCTAAGTGATATTCCTAAAGGGTCTAACCATGCTACATCTCTTTTTTACTTTCTAAGATAACATACGAATTCCTCTAATGGGTACTTAAAGCCTTCCCCTTCACACATCCTTAGACCCTGACAAACTGGCCTTCTTGCTGCTTCTAAGCAAAATCAGATGTGATTTTGTGATGTGATACCCTCCATTTCCTGTCTAGGAGCCTTTATGCAGGCCTCAAATACCCTTTCTCCTCACAGCCATCTCTTTGAAGCCCTAGTTCCCTGCCAAGCTCAGCTCAAATACTGCCTCCTACATGAAGTCTTTTCTGTCCCTCCAGTTATTAGTGCCTTCTTACAAAAACTGCCTTTATTTATTCTGTATATACTTATATGTGTATATGCTATCTCTCTTGATAGAAGGTAAGCTTCTTGAGGACAGGAACTATTTTCATTTTTGTCTTTATATCCCCAGCACCTCACACATAATAGATGTTAAATAAATGCTTGTCAATTGATCAACTTCCTAATAAATCACCTTGAATGTCACTCCACTACTCATATAGCTCCTGTACTTAGAAAATAAAATGGGATGAAATTCCTCCCTTTACTTAGAAAACAAAATACAAACTTATTCTGACATTCAAGACTCTCCAAAATCTGGCTCTAAACTACTTTTCCAGCCATATTTCTTCCAGCTTTCCCTTATTCAGAGCTCTTAAGTCACTTATTGCCTTAACTCCCCTAAAGATACTACATCTCTGCCTGCCCTCTCTCAAAGAGATCTCTCAATTTCTCCAACTTTAGTGGTAGAAGATCAGGGATCAGTTTGCTCCTTGCTTTTACAATGGCTTCTGATTTTGCCTTTAACTTTGAGATTAAGCATATGAATGTCACCCTTCTCCTCCAAATAAAACCTCCTTTATTTGTTCTCTCAAGCTGACACATTCATGAAATCTTTCCACCTACCTAGACTTTTAATTGCTCAACTCTCCCCATTTCAATCAGTCTAACAGTCATCTACTTACTAAATTGAACTCCCTACCTTATACCCATGGCCAGCTAATTTCAACTGCCCATATCAAACTTCTAGATTCTTTTGCTCCCTCCCATAGTACTAATTCCCTAACCCTGAATTACTACCTACAGTCTATTTCTTCTGGCCCTACTCCTTGGCTGTAGAATACTGCTGGAGAAATACACAAAGTTGAAGTGTGAGACATGTAATACACATGTAATAGACAAACAATGAACTGCCAAGCAAGTAAGTGGTACAGGCAATAAATAGGTCAGAATGAGAAGAGACTAATTTGGATTGTAGTAATTGGGGAAAAGTTCATAAAGGAGGTGTGACTTGAGCACCTGAACACAATGGAATAGTTTTTGGAGCAAATTTAAATTAGTTTCCTTGCAACCTTTGATTACATTTACTTATATGGATTCTAGCTTCATATTTATTTCTTCCTTTTTCCCCTCTATTTTCTGTGTATGTCTCTTCCATTCTCTATGTATGTCTTTTCTTTCCATTTTGTAAAATGTCTCTTCTCCACTTTGCAGTCTCACTCTCAATTCCCATCACTGCCCCTGACTTTAACTAAAATGGAGTAAATCTTTTGAGCATCTTACATTTATTGTTCCACATATTTTGAATGTCATATTAATATACAATTGTAAACATTGTTTTGCCAATGCATCTTAAGGGCAATAAGACCTTTCGGACTTGCAGTTGAAACCTTTCATAAGTGTCATCTTCCTCCATCAAAATATAAACTCCTTGAGAGCAGGGATTTGTCTTACTTGTTCTACTTGTATCACCAGTGCTTAACACATAGCAAGCACTTAATAAATGCTTCATTACTTCATTCTGTAATCCCAGTCCCAAAGCAAATGAGCATGGCACTCTCTTCTAACTGGTGGAGATGAATACCCTGCCATGCATGAGGGATGGAGTGGAGTTAATGAGAGAGAAAATTGCAGTCTTCAAATAATCTTTGAGTCACTCCAAGCTTGGAATTGCTTTGGGTGCTTCTGGCTTCCAGCTTTGAGAGAGAAGATGGGAGAGGTAGACCCCACTTCAGGTTACTGAAGGAAGACTCTGGAAAGACATGAGTGAAAACTGGAAGTCTTTGTCATGTCCCTATCCCTAGCCTGTTACTCTAGAGACTTTGGGAAGTTTCCCCTTGGATGGAATCTAGAACTCTTTCTTGCTTGAGCTGAGCAGCCTCAATCTCATTGTGAGAGCTTCTTCACTCTGTGAGGTATATATTTCCTCCTATGTATACCTTCTTTGATTTCTGTTTTGCTGTCTATCTTGATATGTGGGTTTTCTTTGATAATTCCTTTGTTTGTTGACTGTGGAACTAGTATTTGATGGAGGGAGAGTTGGTGCATGATTTTTTTTGTTTACAGATAATTGTGCACTCAGTGCAGCCTCTGAGGCTGAGATGCAACAGCCTATGCACTGGCTCTTTGCTCTTTGCACTAACTTTGGGCTGACAGTTAACACCAAGAAAGCAGGTTTTCTACCAGCCGGCACCACACCATCCATATGTGGAACGATCAGTTACAGCAAATGAGGAATATTGAATGCTATGAATACGTTAACTTACCTTGGCAGTATACTTTCCAGGGATGCACATATAGATGATAAGGTTGACACATGCATTGTCATTGCTCTGTATTTGGGAGTCTCTGAAGGAAAGTATGAGAAACAAGAGACATTAGACTGCCTACCGAAGTGAAGGCCTCATTGTTGTATGCCTGTGAAACCTGGACAGTATACCAGCACCATGCCAGGAAACAGAATCCCTTCCATTTGAATTGCCTACGGAAGATTCTGAAGATGACCTAGCAAGATAATGCCGCAGACACTGAGGTCCTTTCTTGAGCTGAACTGCCAAGCATTCAAACCAGAGAGTGCAAATCTGATGGGCTGACCATGTTATTCAAATGCCAGAAGTAACATTTGCCTAAACGCTTGTTTTACAGAGAACTCACACAAGGCAGGTGCTCACATGGAGGTCAGAAGAAGCAATACAAGGTCTCTCTGAAGAACTTTGGAATCAATTGTGAGACATGGGAGACATTGGCACAGGACCACCCAGCATGGCATATCCACATCAAAGAAGGTGCTGTACTTTATGAGCAAAGCAGGATTTCAGTAGCTCAAAAGAAATGTGAGATGTGCAAATTTAGGGACATCTCTACTCAAAATGTTCACATAGACTATTTGTGCCCAACCTGTAGTAGAGCCTTCCAAGCTCGCATTGGTCTGATCAGTCACAGTTGGACACACTAACTTTAACACTTGACTCTAACATAGTAATGTCATTTTGGTCCTCTTTCAGCACGAAGGACAACAGCTAAACAATTCTACCCTGGTATACCCTCTTTTTGAAGACAGCAGAGTGGCCTCCAGGCTCCTCCGTCTGGCAGGAGAAGGGGAGAGGGGAAAAGAGGATAGAGATGTCTGTTCTGCCTCCCTTCCTTGCTAGATGTGGTGGATAGCCCTTCTTACAATTCATTGAAAGTATCTGAAACAATAAGGCCCATATGCTCTCAGGAATGAAAGGTGGGCCATATAACAGAAAGATCACTTGATTTGGAATCATAAGACCTGAACTACCTGTCTGAGCTTCAGTTTCCTCACCAGCAAAATAGGGAGGTACTCCTTCTCTGCCCTCTTCCCACTTGTGTGAGCACCAAGGACTGAAATCTACTACTCATACCAAGTATCAACTGATCCCCAGATTAGTATACATTTGTGTATTCTGTATCAGGTGTACGAGCTCCTTGGGGCCAGGACTCACCTATCTCCTTCCCCCACCTTCCCAGGTTGCCAAAGGAGATCAATTAACACAAATTGGACTCAGGGGTTGGGGAAAAGCAGGAGGATGGACTGTATGAAGTTGGTCTTTGGGCTACAGAAAATCCCAATCTTAAAATTGCCCAGGATGAAAGAAAATGACCTTTGCTCTATGATAAGAGCTAGGAAGGGAACAGTCTTTCTCCCACTCCTTTCTTAAAGACAGTCAAATAACTAGACCAAGATCACCCAACAGCTGAGTGACACCCATAGAGGGGGGTGGGAAGGAAGGGGAGGTGAGGGACCCTCAGAAAGGAAAGAACGCTCGTTGGGCAATTTCTCTAAGCCAGTCAAAGTGATACCGGTGCTCGCCAATCACAGAGCCGAAAGGCGGGGCCGTATTGTTCTACTTCACCAATCAGGGAAAGCCATCGAAGGTTGCGGAGCCCAGAAATCGAGGGCTCTCTCGTCCTTCCCTCAGATCTTGCGGGTCCTCATGGGGACGTCGCGGGACGGCTTGGCGCTCCTGTGGCATCTCTCGGTGTGCTCGCAATCCCCGTTTCCTTTCGCCTACGAACCCCCTTCTCCGCAGCCCCTGTCCAGTGCTTCCCATCGTCCAGGCTTCTTGCGTCCTCGGGGGCGTTTCCCCGGGGGCTGGGTGGCGGGGTCTGCCGGTCTTCGGGTCCCTCCAAAGGGGGCTAGGAGGGTCCGGGCTACGTTACTATGGAGTTTGAGGCTCGCCTTAGTGACGGCGCCGCTTCAGAGGAGAGTCTTCCCCGGACTTCGTCCCGCGCTCGCCTTTCCAGGCCAGCCCCTCGACCAAAAAGGTGCGGGAGCTTAGTGAGCTCAAAATTATGGCGGAAGGAAGAGGGGACATTTTGGGCAGTTGCACCACCGACCGCCTTAGATTGGAGTTACTGGAGGAAACTCGACTGAAGTGAGTTGGAAAGAAACAAGGACAAAGTGCCGGATGGAGTTCATAGAGAGATTATCCTCCCAAGCCACCTGTGCCTCGGAGGTAGCTGGGGTGGCTGATGCTTGCAGAGCTCCCTTACGCTTTACTCCTAGTGAAAATGCCTAAGCCCCTCCTATCGCCTCTTCCTCCCCGCCCACTTCCAGCCCTGGCTGATGGCCAAGAGTCTGCAGAAGACCCCAGTCCAAATCCTAAAGACGCCTGAGCTGCGGAGCTTGATAAATTCGCTTTACCCATTCTGGGACTCAGTTTCCCCATCTGAAAAGTGAGAGCTTTAGACGAAGATGATCTTTAGGGTTCCCCACCAACCTTGAATCTTGTAACGCCTGTGTGAATGTCACCTTTCTACCAGAAAGATAACCCAGAATGAAACCGGCAAACAGCGTAAATCTTTTGAATTAGTAGTATTTCCACTGTCTTGAAACTAATGGCCCTATTTCACACAATTGCAACTTTGAATAGGAAGAATTTCGAGGGATTCATTCGCCCTAATGCGGATTGGGGCTGTTTTATAGCCTAGAATCAACTGCGGTATCTCACACAATTCTAACTTTGTGTACAGAAATTTCAGTACATGTATTCACTTGGGGATTCATGTTCACTAACCAGGATCAGGGTATATATGACCTGGAACTAATTGCCCTTACACAATTATGATGTCTAATAGTACTAATTTCAATACATATAGACAGGGGCTTCATTATTCTTATTCCTTTTATCCAGGCAAGACCTGGATGAAAATTCGGCAAAGGAGCAAAGTAAGACAAGAAAAGAACCAGGCTAGAGGAGTGTCATGGAAACCTAGGAAGAAAGTAGTATCAAGGAAAAGAGAGTGATTGACAGTGTCAGAGGCTGCAAAAAAGGTCAAGAAGGGTGAGGATTGAGGAAAAGAACATTACATTTGGCAATTAAGAAGCCACTGGTAACTTTAGAGAGAGCAGTTTGTATTGAATGATGAGATTAGAAGCCAGACAGAGAATTAAGAAGAGAATGAAAGGAAAAGAAGTAGAATCACTGAATGTAAAAAGCCTTCTCTAGGAAAAAGAGAAGAGACATATGAAATGGTAGCAAGGATGGATGGATGAAGTTGAAGGATTTTGGAAGGTGGAGGAGACAGGCATGTTTGTAGGCAGCAGGGAAACAGTTAGTAGACAGGGAGAGAGGGAAGAGAAATGATAGTGAGGATGATAGTGCCTATTGTTTAATGGACAAGACAGTCTGGAATGGGATCACATGGGGGGGGTAGGGGATGGAGTTTGCCTTGGCAAGGAGAAGGGCCACCTCTTCACGTCAGACAGAAGTGAAGGAGAAAATAGTGCCAGAAGACATCTGGAAGATGTGATATAACTGGGAAGATAGGAACTCTTGGTGAATGACCTCATTTTTTTTTTCAGAGGGAAGAGGAGCAATAGGTCTTTTAAGGAGAGATGAAAAGTTTTGGAAGAGCTGCTGTCCTGAATGGGATAGTGAGTTAATTAGGGTGTTGTGAAAGGATTGATCTGCCACAGCGAAGGCCCAATTGAGATTATGTAATGTAAATTTGTAGTAGATCCAGTAAGCATAATTTAGTGTGCTTATTTTTCTCCATCTTCGTTCATCAGCATGTAAAATAGGACTGAAGGCAGCAGATGGTGGAAATAGCCCAAGGTTAGGTCATGGCAAGGTAAGAAGAGAGGCCACCAAAGAGTCAAGATGGTAAAGGGAAGAGAATGTAGCTAGTGCAAGGGTGATGGTTCAGGTTAAATTACAATACTATGCTGACTATGTCTACTACAAATTCTTATCATCTAATCTCAGCTGCCTCTCACTGGTACATGGCAAACTTTTTTTATTCTTCTTTGATTCTATTATCACTGTCCTCAGCAGCCTTCCTGATCCTTTCCTTTTCTCCTAATGTCTCCTCTATCACTATTTCAACACAGATGTCCTCATCTTCTAGTTTACTGAGAAAATAGAGGCTGCCATGAACTCCTTCTGCTCTCCTATTCTATACCTCAAAACTTTTCTATATATATATATATATATATATATATATATATATATATTTCTATATATATTCACTCATCCTCTCTTCCTTCACTACTCCTAACTCTGAGGAAGACATAGCCCTTCTACTTTCCATGAACAACACTTCTGTCTGTGTCTTCAATCCCATTCCCTAAGCTTCTCATCAATAGCTTCCTAATTACTTTCTCTGCTTCCATTTTTACCTGGTTTGCATTACATAGTCCACTACAGGATGTGCCAAAGTGATATGCCTAAAGAATGCAGCTGGCATGTCTCTTCCCTGATCAAGAAACCCAATTGGCCAGCTAGTGCCTCTAGGAACAAATACAAACCATTCCTTGGTTTTGTATTTGAAACATCTGCTACCCAGTATGGTTATCAAATTCCTACCACCTATGTCATACTTTCATAGTGACTGTGATATTTGATTTCTGACTGTTGTTCAGTTGTTTTCAGTTGTGTCCAACTCCTCGTGACCCCATTTTCTTGGCAGAGATACTAGAGTGGTTTGCCATTTCCTTCTCCAGCTCATTTTACAGGTAAGAAAACTGAAGCAAATAGGGATAAGTGACTTGCCCAGGATCACACAGCTACTAAAGTATCTGATGTCAGATTTGAACTCAGGAAGATGAGTCTTCTGATTTCAGGCCCAGTACCTTATCCACTGCATTACTTAAGTCAACTACTCTTCTCTACTCTCCCTCCTGGCCCCCATTGCTTGTCTCACCCTCATCTTCCTTGACCCTCTCTCATGTCTACAACTCAGTTCATCTTGTCCCTCCCATTATATGCCCACTAGGATTCCCATACCATACCAGACTTCATCCTTTATTTTGAACCTCTTCCTTTCATGCTCTTTCCATCTTGTAGTACTCATTGATACCTGGCTTCTCCTGAATGATAATAGTACATCCTTGACCATCCTGTCCAGCACGGACTCCACTTTCTCTGATACCCTGATCATAGCAGTTGGGGAGTTGGAGGGGGGAGTCAATATACTTCTTGCTTGCCACTGGCAATTCCAGGCTCTCCCTTTGCTGCCATCACTGCACAACTTCTTTGAAGTTCAAAATCACTCCATCAAAATTTATTCTCTATTGAGATAGCAGAATGGAGGTCAATTTCCCTCCTTACTCAAGGCTATTAGTGCGTGGTTCACTGTCTTTCTCTGATTTCTGTCCTTCAACATTTATGTCGAAGTTCTATCAAACAATCTAACCTCCCAATTCTAAAATTTCAAATTTCAGATTCTACTCAACCTAAAACATGCTGAAGGATGATTATACCCTAGTTCATGCCATGACCCATATCCATGTTAAAAAAAACTGACATTCCTCTAGATCTGACCATAATCTCCTATCGTTCTGTCTTTCCCTATGCCTTACTGCTCCTAAATCTATTCTTCATCATCATTGTGACCTCCAGTCCCTCCAAACCTCAGCCTTTTTTCAAGGCCAGTTCTGCTGTTCTGACTTTCCATTTTACAGACTTAGGACCCTGAGCAGTGTACCGCCACAGTGTACTCTATTCTCAAATCACTTCTGCCTTGTCCTCTGGCTGCTCATGTTTTGCCAAACCCAATCTTGGATTATTCCCACCACCTACTTCTTCTTGGGGGCAGCTAGATGGTGGGCCCGGAGTCAGGAAGATTCATCTTCCTGAGTTCACATTTGGCCTCAGACAAGAGCTATGTGACCCTAAGCAAGGCACTTAACTCTGTCTCAGTTTTCTCATCTGTGAAATGAGCTGAAGAAGGAAATGAATGGTAAACCATTCCAGTATCTTTGCCAAAAAACCCCCAAACAACCCCAAATGGGGGCAGACATGATTGAAAAACAACTCAACAAATTCTTCTGCTCCTATTAATGTGCTTCTGATAGGAGTTGTAGGAATTCATGCAAATGAGCTGACTAGATTCACTACAGATGTATCCAGTCTAACCTCAGCTAGGCCCTTACTGAAGCTGAATCAAGGAAATTCTTTTACTACTCTCTAATTCCCTATCCTACTCATCACAGAGGTGATTTTGAACTGTCTCCATTCTTCTTAAATCCCCACATCTTTTCCTTCCCCCAACTTTTTAGCTGAATACTTTGCCTCATAATTTACCAAAAAAAAAAAAAACCCTGAGGCAATAGCTGCCTTACTCTTTATCTTAAAACCTCTTTCCATCATTCCCTACTCTCTCCTCTTTTATTCCAGTCTCTGATAATGACATGGGCTCTCCTTACCAGGACTAGACCCACTTCCCTCAGACACCAGTTGTATAACTTTAGGTAAGTCACTTAATCTTTCTCAGCCCCAGTTTACACATCTGTAAAATGAAGGTGATTTGGATTCTATGGCTTCTAAGGTCCTTTCTATTCCTAAATCTATGATAACAGGTGTCCTTGATCCTACCCCCTCTTGAGTGCTTCAGCAGATTGTTCCTTCAATCATCCCCTCTAGTTATAATCTTAAATCTTACCCTACCTACTGGTTCTTTCCCAGCTGCTTTCAAATATGCCTGTCTCTCTCCTCTTTCCTTAAAAAATACCTTAACTGATTTCTGCAATCTCTTCAAACTGTCGTTGTGATATCTCTCCTCCATTTCTCAGCCAAACTCCTAGGAAAACCTATTTATTCTTCATTTTCTTTCCTCCCATTCCTTTCTCAAACCTTTGCAAGTCTGGCTTGCTACCTCATCACTCAGCTGAAACTGCTAGCTCCAAAGTCATCTCTCCAATAAACTTCCTCTACACTATCCCTCCTCGCCCCTCTCAAAGACCTCATAATTGCCAAATCAGATAGTTTTTCTCACTCCTAATCCTCCTTGAGCTCTCTGCTGCATTTGACATTGTTGGCTACCATCTCTTCCTCCATATACTTTCTCCTCTGGATTTTCCAGACACTGTCCTCTCCCAGTTCTCCTCCTACCTGTCTGCCCTCAGTTTCTTTTGCTGAATCATCATCCATATCACTCCCCTGCTCCCCAACTGTGGGTGTACCTCCAAGGCTCATTTTGGGGCCCTTTTCTCTTTTTATAGAGGTCATCTCCCCTGGGTTTTACTATGATCTCTCTGCAGATGACCCTCAGATTTCTCCATCCAGCCACAGTCTCTATTCTGATCCCCAGCCCTGCATCACCAACTGCCTATTGCACATGTCGAATAAGATGTCCCAGAGATACTTCAAACCCAATAGTTTCAAACAGAACTCTTTATCTTTCCCCTTCAAGCCCAACCCTCTTCCAAAGTTAAATATTTCTGTCAAGGGCATCACCATTTTCCTAGTCTCCCAAGAGTTTGCAGCTTTAGCACTATTCTCACTCTTCCCAATTCCATGTATCTCAACAGCTGCCAAATCTCATCATTTCTGTCTTATGTCTGTCCCTTTCACAACTCTCATAGCCCCCACTTTAGTTCAGGTCCCTGTCACCTCTCCTGGATTATTTCAATGGCCTAATTGGTCTTCCTGTCCCAAGTCCCTCCTAATTTCATTCTGTTCTCCACATAGCTCCCAGCTCAAGTCTTATTGTCTCCAAGTCTAGCTGTGTATTCACTATGCTAACTAGAATGCATTCCCTCCTCACTCTTTCTTGTGGATTCTCTTAACTTCAAGGGAAGAACTACTTTCTACAGGAATTCTTTGCTGATTCTCCCAGCTGCAAGTGCCCTTCCTCCTTAAGATAACATTCCTTTTGTATTCTGTGTGTATGTGTGTGTGTATATATATGTATATAAATATCTAGCTAGATATTATATGTATATAGAGATTTGTCTATAGATATCTAAGTTAATATTTGTAGACATATCTATATCTAGGTATCTAGCTATATATCTATATGTACCTATCTACACACACACACACATACACACACACACACACACACACACACACACACACACACACACATCTTCCCTGATGGAATGTAAACTCCTTGAGAATAGGGACTATTCCATATTTGTCTTTGTATCCCAACACCTACCACAGTGACTGACACATAATAGATACTGAATAAATGCTTGTTGACCTGTATACCTTATGGATTGCCTCAGGAAATTATAAGCTTTTTGAGGGTAGAGACCTTTTTTGATTTTTGTATTTGAATCAATCCCTAGCATCTAGAACAGTGCTTTGAATATAATAGGTTCTTAAGATCTTTAATTTAATTGAGTTGTATTGAAACAGTAATGTGGATCCATTTTTTATAGAGACCTAGTTCCATCTGATATTAGGGACACATTTCCTGTTAAGGAATGAGGAAAATCTATATAGGTGAATTTTTCAAATAACTAAAGGTTATGTCCTTAAACACCCAAACTTTTCATTTTAACTGTTCTGGTTAGAAATCTTTCTAAAATACATTTCATAGAGACTTGTCTTAAATTATGTTAGATATATTTTAACCTTTTATATTTGACTCATGATTATCATGAGCATTAAGACAATATAGTGGAAAGAGCACTGAATTTTGAGTCTAAAACCTGGGTTCAAATCCTGATCATGCTTTAGTTTCTTTATCTATAAATTTAGGGAGTTGAACTAGGTGCTCTCTGAAAGTCATTCCAACTCTTGATCCTATGATGGTTCGCATTATTAAGTGCAATACAGTAATATTTTAATGGATATTAAGGTATTTTGGACAAGCCACTCCCACCACCCACAGTGACCCTAGCTGCTCTTGTTTTTATAGTTCTTTAGTCTACTTTTTACAGTTTCCTCAGTTGTTTCCTTTCCTGTTGAGCTGTCACTTCTTGTACTTTGAATTTGCTTGCTCCTAGTACCAATCCCCTTCCATTTTCTGATTTCTTATTTATGTATTTAGTTTTATTAATTTATTTTATCAACAATCACTTCCATATGGTTTTGAGTTTAAAATTTTTCTCCCCCTTCCTCCCCACCACCCTCCCCAATATGATGCACAATCTGATATAGGCTATATATATACATTCTTATTAAACATATTTTCACATTAGTGATATTGTAAGTAAACATTAGAACTAATAGGAAGAACCACCAGAAAGAGGAAACAAAACTCAAGAGAAGAGAAAAAAAATAGCAAATAGTATGCTTCGATCTGCATTCAAATTTCATAGTTCTTTCTTTGGATGTGGATAGCATTTTTTATCACGAGGCCTTTGGAGATATCTTAGATCCTTGAATTGCTGGGAAGGGTTAAGTTTATCAATATCAGTCATCACACAACGTGGCTGTTATTATATACAACGTTCTGTTGGTTCTGTTCACTTCACTCAGCATCAGACCATACAAGTCTTTCCAGGTTTTTCTGAAGTCATCCATAGCACAATAGTATTCCATTACATTCATATACCACAATTTGCTCAGCCATGCCCCAATTGATGGGCATCCTCTCAATTTCCAATTCTTTGCTCCCACAAAAAGAGCTGCTATGAATATTGTTGTACATGTGGGTCCTTTCCCCATTTGTTTGTCTCTTTGGGATACAGCCCTAGAAGCGCTATTGCTAGGTCAAAGGGTATGCACATTTTTTAGTCTTTTGGGCATAGTTCCAAATTGCTCTCCAAAACGGTTGGATCATTTCACAACTCCACCAACAATGCGTTAGTGTTCCAATTTTCCCACATCTTCTCCAACATTTATCATTTTCCTGTTTTGTCATGTTGGCCAATCTGATAGGTGTAATGTGGTACCTCGGAGTTGTTTTGATTTGTACTTCTCTAATCAATAGTAATTTAGAGCATTTTTTCGTATGACTATAGATGGCTTTAATTTCTACATCTGAAAACTGCCTGCTGATATCCTTTGACCATTTATCCATTGGGGAATACATTTTATGATTTCTTGCTTAAAAATCTTCTGGGGGGGGAGCCGGTAGGTGGTATAGTAAATAGAGCTATGGCCTTAAAGTCAGGAGGACCTGAGTTCAAATCCAGCCTCAGATACTTACTAGCTGTGTGACCCTGGGCAAATCACTTAACCCTGATCACCTCAGCAAAAAGTTAAAAAAAAAATCTTCTGTGGCATGGGAAACCAGATATCCAGACTTTTTAGAATCTTTTACAAAATAAGAGTAAATAGGTGCTAAATGATTGCCTTCTAGACTATCCTATGAAATGCTTTACTTTCAGTGGATTAGCTTTGGGACTATTTTGGTTGTGCAGAATATATTTTTCCCCTTAGATTTCATATGTGCCCTGGACAAGTAAAATGTTATTGTATATTACTCTTATTATAGTCTTTTTCTTCCACTGAATGATGATGAACATTATTTAATCAATGTCTTTAATTATACAGGGATATAGTGCAACTCACAACGATTGAAATCAGGAACAAGATAGTAGAATTAGAAGAAGGATTAAAAAATGTTGATGATGAAGGTATAGTTTTTCTACATATTAATGTTTTTCTTACTAGGAAAAATATTAGAGAAGATTGTACAACTAATATTGCAGTAAGTCTATGTTTTTGGTGGTTAATAATAGTATATAAATAATAGTGCAATAAAATTCAACCTCAATAGTCCTGTTAGTATTTCTATCAATGTGGAAGTATTTTCTTTCATTATCATAGGTTAATACCTTTCCATAACTTTTCATCATAGGTTGTTTTTATGCTTATTTTCCCATAGATCCTATTGTAGGTCATTTTACATTCTGTGAATACCAGTTCTGTGCATGGATTGTGTGTATTTCTGTGTGTGTGTGTGTGTGTGTGTGTGTGTGTGTGTGTGTGTGTGAGAGAGAGAGAGAGAGAGAGATAAATTATCATTTGCCATTGTCATAGTCTTTTTTTTTAACATTTCAACTCACTTATTTTTAACTTCTTTTCTTTTTTAATTTTGAGTTCCAAATTCTCTCCCTTCCAGTCCCTCTCCCACTCGCTGATCACACAAGCAATATGATATCAATTATATATGTGAAACCATGCAAAACATTCCCATATTAGCCATATTTCAAAAAACCACAAGAAAAATAAAATGAGAAAATTATACTTCAATTTACAATTCAGAGTTCTTCAGTTCTGTCTCTGGAGGTGGATAGCATTTTTTCATCATGAGTCCTTTGAAATTGTCTTGGATCATTGAATTGATCAGAGTAGCCAAATCTTTCACAATTATCATCATTACAACATTGCTGTTACTGTGCACAGTGATCTTCCAGTTCTCATTTTACTTTTCATCAGTTCATATAGGTCTTGCCGTGTTTTTCTGAAACCACTCCCATCATCATTTCCCATAGCATAGTAGTACTCCATCACTATCATATGCTGTAACTTATTCAGCCATTCCTCAGTCAATGAACATTCTCAATTTCCAGTTCTTTACCACCACAAAAAGAGCTCCTATAAATATTTTTATACATATAGGTCCTTTTCCTTTTTCTCTGATCTCTTTAAGATACAAACCTGGTAGTGGTATTGCTGGTCAAAGGGTATGTATAATCTTATAGCTCTTTGGGCATAGTTCCAAATTGTTCTTCAGAACGGTTGGATCAGTTCACTACCCACCAGCAATTTATTAGTATAATCTACTTTTCCCTCAGCATTTGTCATTTCTGAAAGGTGTGAGTTGGTACTTCACAGTTGTTTTAATTTTCCTTTGTCTAATCAATAGTGATTGAGAGCACTTTTTCCTTTTTTTTATTAATTTACTTTTAGTTTTCAACAATCACTTCCATAAGCTTTTGAGTTTAAAATTTTTCTCCCCCTCCCTCCCTACCTCCTTCCCTAAGACATATTGCAATCTGATATAGCCTCTACATATACATTCCTATTAAACATATTTTCACATTAGTCATGTTGTAAGGAAGAATTAGAACCAATAGGAGGAACCACAAAAAAGAGGAAACAAAACAAAACAAGGGGAAAAAAAAAAGAGCAAATAGTATGCTTCGATCTGCATTCAAACTCCATAGTTCTTTCTCTGGATGTGGCTAGCATTTTCCATCATGAGACTTTTGGAGATGTCTTAGATCCTTGCATTGCTGAGAAGAGCTAATTCTATCAAAGTTAGTCATCACACAACGTGGCTGTTACTGTGTCCATTTTTTTCATATAACTATATAGATAGCTTTGATTTCTTCTTCTGAAAACTGCTTGCTTATATCCTTTGACCATTTACCAATTTGGTAATGGCTCTTATTTTTATAAATTTGACTCAGTTCTATACTTAGTATACATTTGAGAAATGAGGCCTTTATTTTCCTTACTGGAAAATTTTTTTATATTACTTCATTGTCTGTGGTACCTTTTAGCATAATGTAGTTTCCCTGATTATGTCTGTTAATTAAGTCTATTTTTCCTTTTGCTTTCAGATCGTGATTGCTACCCCTGATTTTTTTTTAGCTGAAGCATATTATATTCTGCTCCATCCTTTTATTTTTAACCTTGTTTGTCTTTCTGTTTCAAGTGTGTCTCTTGTAAAAAACATACTGTTGGATTATCAATTCTGCTATTGCTTCCATTTTATGGGTGAGCTCTTCCTGTTCATATTCGCAGTTATGCTTACTGTGTATTTTCTTCCTTCCCATTTTCTTCTGTTTCTTCCTCTTTCTCTCTTTTCATCCTGTCCTTCCTCAAAAGTCAGTTTTGCATCTAATCACTGTCTCCCTTAATTGGCCATCCTTTTATCATCTCTCTCATTTCTCTTATCTCCTTCACCTCTTATTTCCCTATTGGGTAAGTTGCATTTCTATACACAGCTGAGTATGTGTATATCCCTCTTTGAACCAATTCCTATGAGAGTGAGGTTCAAGGCTGCCATACCCCATTTTCCTCTCCATTGTAAAAGCTCTTCTGCACATCTCTTTTATGTGAGGAAAATGGCTTTATTCTACTTCTCCCCTCCCCTTTCTCTCACTAACTCCTTTCTCAGTCCTTCATTTTTTTTTGAGATCATTCTAACATAACTGACTCATACCCATGTCCTCTGTCTATGTAAATTCCTTTTAACTGTCTTAATAATGATAAAGTTCTTACAAGTTACATGTATCATTTTCTCATATAGGAATGTAAACAATTTAACTTTATTGTTTATTTTATATATTTCTCTCAAGTCTTGCATCGAATGTCAAATTTCCTTTTAGCACTGATCTTTTCATCAGAAAGTTGTGTTCATTTGTTATCCCTCATTTTCAATGTGTGACCAGCTTCCCTCATTTTCTGATCACATATTTACTGAATTATGTATGTCTTGTGCCACTTCTTATGAATCACAGTTTAAAATATGTAGTAGTTGTTTTCATAGTCGTTTAAATTAAGTATAACAATAGTTCATTCTCATGCAGAATGTTATTTCAGAGTGATGTACCAGATATTTTGTAACTGTTCATACAGACAATTCATACAATTAGGAATATTCATCTTCCCCAATGTCAAGTAACTGTCATTTTATCTCTTAATCCAGGGTCAATCAGGAGTAATATAACTCTGTGTGTGTGTGTGTGTGTGTGTGTGTGTGTGTGTGTGTATGTGTGTGTGTGTGTACACTTAAAGAAGAGTTGACTGGCAGCCATTTGAAAAATGGCAGGGAGTCGGGGAGTAGACAAGGAAGCCTTTTTAGGAAGCTATTCATGGAAGTGATAAAAAAAGCCTGATGGGAGGATATATTACAGAGGTAGAATTTATAGGACTAGCAAGATTGCTGAATTTGGGATATTACTAAAGAGAAGATTTCCAGTGGAGTTTCTTGTCCTTTGTACAGTGAGGAAGATAGAGTACGAGGATTCAAAGTTTACACTTTATTTGCCATTCAATCTAATATATTAACGATGTAAGTCAACATACAGTTATAGACATATCATAGAGCCTCAATTATATACATCAAAATTTCCATCCCTCTAATGGGTTTCCAGTTCATGACTCTTGATAGTGGGAACCCATAACTTCCCTCTGACCTTCACTAGAGGTAGTGGTTTCCCCCATTTACTACAGTTCTTTAAGTGAAAGCTGTATGGTTGTTTTTGAGAAATGTTAAAGGTACAAGTTGTACTAGATATGCCCTAAGGTCTTCCATTTTTTGAGATTCTGAGATTTCTTTGGAAGGCATTTTATATCACTAGAAAGAAAACTATATGTGTGTGTGTGTGTGTGTGTGTGTGTGTGTGTGTGTGTGTGTGTATGATAGATATGTATATATATGTGTGTGTGTGTGAGTGTGTGTACATATATACACCACACACACAGACATACATACATACACACATACAAACATACATACATACATAGGATCAGGGCTGTCCCAAAATACAATAGTTTGTATTTTAAAGGTAATGACTTCTTTTCCACTGAAATGTTATGTCAGAAGGTAAACACATCATTTATGTTTCATGGGGAGCATGTTAATGGGATAATAGCTTAATTTAAAAGCCATCTAAGAACACTCTCAGATCTGAGATATAATTTTAAATATTTGATGATTTTAAATATAAAAGCATTTTTGGAAGAAAAGAAAGATTATGATTCTTAAAATATAGTAGTGCTTTAGAAGGGTTATAATAGTATATTTAAAATATTTTCATTCTAAATACATTGTAGTACTTATAAATTTAAATTGAATAAGATGCCAGCATTGATATATGAAACTGGTAATTTTGCTTTTGTCCTTTTTCCTTATAAAGGTAATGAATGGAAAACTCGTTATGAAGCACAAATTGAACTTAATAAACATTTAGCAAAGCAAATATTAAATCTTCGACAGAAAATGGCCAAAGTTCATGGGAATCCTTCAGGTAAAGGAGTAATTATGTGAATGTCTTTTATGAATGTAGTGAGATTTGATTTTGTATCAATTACTGATGTTTGCTTTCTTGTAGATAGATTATCTTCTATTCGTGTCTATGAACGGATGCCATTGGTGAGTAAAATTTTAATTTCTCTACATAATTAAGAAAAGGGAAAATTGGAAGTAAATGATTTTGAATTACTTCACAAAGAACAAAAGATTTTTTTCCCCATAAGCAGTTATCCTAAATATAGCTTCAACTACATATATATTGCACAGAATTCCCTTATTTTCAGTACTGAAAAGCCTGTGCTTTTCATCTCTAAGATACTGGAAAGTTAGATTTGGTACTGAAGCAAATAATTTTTCTTGGAGCAATATCCCCATCTTGTGTAGCTTTTGGAAACTGCTATTAGAGCTATTTTAAGTTTGAGGTTTTTTGTACCTAGAGGCAGATATTTATGCAGATTTCTCCAATCTTAATTTGCAATACCATATTTTATCATGCCAACTATAGAGTAACTTTTAAAACATTATAAAATATTCACATGGATTGCTTTGGGGCCCAATGGTGTTTAAATACTTTAGTTTATTCTAATGAACAAAATAGGGTTTGGGTTTTTTGTTTGTTTGTAAATTGATGCTAAAATAAAAAAGGAGTATCCAGCATGTTGGAGAATCAGAATTAAAATTATCTCAGAAAATTTGAGAAGTAGTTAGAATTAAATGAAATGCATTAACGACATGTTAATTTGGAAACTGGAGATAAATTCAGAAATATAAGGTGGGTAAGAGTGACTATTGGTAACATGTTTTAAAATGGCTAAAAATCTTAGTGACAGGAACATTGGTAGAAAACTGGTCAGAAACTCAGGGTGAGAGCACAGTAACAGGAGCAAGGGATGAATGGGCCAAATTTGGGTCACCCAGAATTACTGGTCAGGATTTAGAGAGGGGTATTGAAATAAATGAGCTAGAGGAGAACATCTCATAGTTCACTAATGTCAGAACCAGGCATGTCATTAAAACCAATCAGCATGCACTATATTTTCCCCTAATCATCTTTGCCCTCCAAATTTTCCTGTTTCTCTTGAGTATGCTACCATCCTTCCAGGCACCTAGGTTTGCAATGTTGTAGTCAACCTTAACTCTTTCCTCTCTCTCAACTCTTAATATCCAATTTTCAAGTCTTTTTGATTGTACCTTCCCAAAATCTATGGAACACATCCCCCTTCACTTATGCAGCCTCTTCCCTAGTTTATGTCACCATCACTGTTTGTCTCTATTATGATAATAGTCTTCTCTGATATCTCTGATTCCAATCTTTCCCTCTTTCCAATCTATCCAAGCATAGACCAGACCATGTGATTCCCTGCTTAGAAATCTTCAGGGGCTCTCAATTGCTTCTGTGATGAAATATAAACTCTTCAGGTTGGCATTTGGCATAATCTAATTCCCACTTATTTCTTATAGTTTTATTTAAAATTACTCCTGTTCATTCCTATGCTTTCCATTCCAGTCTGAGTGGCTTTCTTGCTCTTCCCCATAGAGTCCATTTCATTTCCTGCCTGTGGCCCTTTGCCCAGATGGACTTCAGTGTCTTCACATCTGCCTCATAGAATCCATTTCTCCCTTCAGCTTAAGTTATTCCTCCTCCACAAGGAGGAATTTCTTCAGTTTTCAGTATTCTCTACTCATAATTATTTTGTGGTGTTGTTGAGTTGTTTTCAGTCATGTCCAATTCTTTGTGACCCCATTTTGAGATTTGCTTGGCAAAGATTTTAGAGTGGTTTACCATTTCCTTCTCTAGCTCATTTTACAGATGAGGAAACTGAGGCAAAAAGGGTTAAGGGACTTGCCCAAGGTCACACAGCTAGTAAGTGTCTAAGGCCAGATTTGAATTCAGAAGGTGAGTCTTCCTGACTCCAGGCCTGATACTTTATCCATTATACCACCTAGCTATCCAATTATTTTGTATAAACCTGTAATCAGTGAAGTAGAAAGAGAGTTGGAAAGGAAGTTGGTGGACCTAGGTTTACATCACAACTGCCCTGCATGATCTGTATGACCCCAGCAAGGCTCCTGAACTCTCTAAGTCTTAGCTTCTTCATCTGTAAAATTATGTGGTTGATCTGAATGACCTCTTCAGGCCCTTCCAACCCTACATTTATGATGCTGTGGTCCTCTCTGTCTGTTTTACATATACTTATGTGTATACACACACAAACATATATAATGTATGTATGCTTGCAAATATATGTTTATATACACACATGTTTATATGTGTATATATGTATATGTGTGTATGTATGTATGTATACATACACATATATTCCCTCCCCCAATAAATCATAAGATCTTCCAGGGCACACATTGGTTTATTTTTGTTTTTGTACCTCTACCATGTATGCATAACAGCTACTTGTACACAAGAGGTATTTGTACATATAGCAGGTACTTAATAAACATTTGTTGAATTGAATCTTCAGTGGAGTCTCCTAGCCCACCAGAAGAAGAACCTTGTAGATCTGATCAAGGATATGTCACTGAAGTAATTCAGGAGTAGCGCGGGACCAATGCCAGGAAACAGGAAGTGAATGGAGAGCTTCTAAAGCCTTGCTGTTGACCTCACACTCCTTCTAAATGCACTCCAAAGTTACAATACTCAAGTGTTTATAGATGCCGCACAGCTAGTTTTATGGCTGGTAGGATAGGGGAACTCTTTCAAATTCACCATTGCTCTCTAAAAGGAGAGAGGCATGATCTCTGACTTTGTGTTACAGTTGGAAAGGCTGCTCTGGAGAGGGGAAATCAAAGGAACAGCGCCATTAGAGCAGGTGAACAACACTTGACTGATGTGAATGATGAAGGGGTTGGTATATAATGAAACAATGTGGTTTCACCTATCAGTATGAAGCAGCAGCAAGAAGAGTCTCTCGATTACTTAGCTGATATGACTGGCATGGAAAAGAGAGGCACTGTCTCTAGAGAAAGATTGGTCATAAGGGGCAAAATAGGACTCCATGGGGGGCCAGGACACCTTCTCAAGTTTGGGCCGTCAAGACCAAAAGAGAGGCTACTTCAGATCTTAGTCTGGAAACTTAAGCCAAGAATATGAACCAAAGAAGCAGAACTACTCCTGAAGTTTACTTAAATGTAACTCCCCAAAGGGGACATGCTTTTGAACAAGTGACTGAAGTAAAGCTATACGATGTAGTTCTGGGCAGCTAGGTGGTGCAGTGGTTAGAGGGCCAGGCCTGGAGTCAGGAATATTCCTATCTGAATTCAGACCTGGCCTCAGACGCTTACTAGCTGTGTGACCCTGGACAAGTCACTTAACCCTGTTTGCCTCAGTTTCCTCATCTGTAAAATGAGCTGGAGAAAGAAATGGCAAGCCACACCAAGAAAACCCCAATAGGGTCACAAACAGTCAGACATGACTGAAAAATGATTGAACAACAACAATTATAGTTCTGGATCAGACTATAGTTTGCTATGGATACAAAAGAATTAAGTGGATACTATCTCAAAGTTTGCCAGTTGATGACACATTTGAACAATTGATTTTTCCGAGGCTATCTGGGAGAGAGAAACCAGAAGAGGTTCTTTTTCCATCTTAAAGGCAGTTGGGTGGCAGAGTTGAACAGTGTGCCTAATCTTTGGGAGCTTCTGCCATCTAGGCAATTGGGTAGTGTAGTGGTTGGAGTGCTGCGATTGGAGTCAGGAAGTCTTGAATTCAAATTCAGCCTCATAGCTGTGTGCCCTGAGCAAGTCTTAAACATCCATTTGCCTCAGTTTCCCCAGCTGTAAAATGAGGGTGATAATAGCACCTACCTTGCAGGATTGTTGTGGTGATCAAGTGAGATGATATTTGTAAAGCACTTAGTACAGTACCTGGCCCATGATAGGCCCTATGTAAATGCTAGCTATCACTATTATCTTCATCATCATCATCATCATCATCATCATCATCATTTCTTCTGAGACTTTCATGGGCTGTTGCTGCAGCTAGATGGAGTAGTCAGACAGAGGAGGTGCAAAGAAACTGCAGAGAGCTGAGAGCACTAGTTGGTGAGATAAGGGAAGAACTTGCCTCACCTTTGCATTAGGACTGGGAGCAGCTCCCATTAATTGTCCAGCTCTCCAAGTTTTGTTTCTCCTTTCTTCCTAAAAGAGGAAAGCGTTAAAAGAATCTGTTTCTCTTCCAAAGAGAAGAGAAAGATTAATAACTTAGTTGTAAATATACCCCTAGACCCCATAGAGATAAGACCTTCAAGCACCAAACCTGGGAAAGGTGGTTGTGTTACTGGTGAGATAGATACTCTTAAGGACTACTTTTTAAAGAAAATACACCTGTCTGAACCCCGTATGTAGGATCCTCTCAGTATGGTGACTTCCCTATGTTGTTTTGGGGTTGCCTGCCAAGATTCCCCTGGTGTAAGGGAAATCTCTGTCCAGATGGAAGAAGGGTTGAATCCAGAGGCCTCTCCATTTTTACCTAGTACTCAAGCTGTGTACAGGGACAAAATCCTTATGGTCAGGAAACAGAGATACCTTGTCCGTTAGAACTGGGATTTTGCTGAAGAATTAGATCAGCCAGTAATATAAAGAAACAGGGCATTATTTAGCACATTTGAACTCAAGGAACAGAAAGCTACATGGTCTAACCTGAGATACAAGTTAGTAGGATCATCAAAGAGGGGAGATAGGTGAAACCTAGTAATACTACTATGATAGGGCAGCAGTGAAAATTTGCCATATTTGGGCAGTGCTCATCTCTCAAATTGGGGCAGACCCAAACAGCCACAAAGTGGGATAGGGAAGAGATACAACCAGAGATGTTACCAGAAACTCAGGCTTGATGACCTTCAAGACATGGCAGGAAGGAGTGCACAATGGTGTTTTGAGGAAAGGCGAACTCCTGGACTTGGTACATGTTTATACCAAAATCTTACCATTTCCTCTGTGTTCTGTGGGCAAGACTTCTGGGGCTGTTATCACTCGTGCTTCATATCAGTTCAGTGCTTCAGATAAGGGTTAGGGATGTTTGTTAGAGGAAGGGCAGGGTCTGAACTGATTAGTGTAATGAGGGTCTGTTAGATGCTTATGCAGCTCTCTCTTCAGAGGGTGCT